CAGAACTCAGAGAATGTTTACTAATTCTGTCTTGAGTGCTTTCATTCATGCACTGTATGGTCTTTTTTTAGACCCATACACAATTTGAGACACATGTCAGTATACTAAGAACTATACTACGTGTTCTTTGCTATAGACATTAGGGTATAGGCACTGTGCACCTTTCTTTCTTTTGAGACAAACACATGTTTCCTTTGTGTATCCAAGTTCTCTACATAGCTGGTGATCCTGTTAACACTTCACCTATTTGTTTGATTTTCTTACACAAACCTCTGTGTTTCCTATTACAGTAAGACCTAAATACAGATGTACATATTTAATTGATTTTCCTATACAAACCAGTTAGATATAAACATATTTATTTGATTTGTCCTACAAAACCTATAAACTAATTTGTTTGATTGTCCTATACAAAACTATAAATCGTTTGTTTGATTTTCCTATACAAATCTATAAAATCATTGGTTTGATTTTCCTATGCAGACCAATATATCTATTTGCTTGTTTTTCCTTTACAAACTAATAAACGTATTTGCTGGATTTTCTTTTGCAACCCTATAAACTTATTTGTTTGATTTTCCTATACAAACCTATCAAATCATTTGTTTGATTTTCCTATGCAAACATATAAACTGATTTGTGTGATTTTCCTATGCAGAGCAATACATCTATTTGATTGATTTTCCTTTACAAACTTATCAACTTATTGGTTTGATTTTCCTCTGCAGACCAATATATCTATTTGCTTGATTTTCCTTTAAAAACTTATAAACTTATTTGTTTGATTTTCCTTTGCAGACCTATATATCTGTTTGTTTGATTTGCCTATACAGACCTTTAAACGTATTTGCTTGATTTTCTTTTGCAACCCTATAAACTAATTTGTTTGCTTTTCCTATACAAACCTATATACATTATATATATATTTGTTTGATTTTCCTATATATAACTATATATCTATTTGTTTGATTTTCTATACATACCTATATATCTATTTGTTTCATTTTTCTGTTAAGACCTATATATCTATTTGCTTGATTTTCCTACACAGATCTATATACCAGGAGTTTACTGACCTTGAACCTATCATTCAACAAATAGCAAAGAAAAAGAGCAAGGATAGGTAACGCCACTGTGTGTAAAAGATCACATGCACGTGTACGACTGGTCACTGTGACGTGGTTTGATAACCATTGTTTCGTAGAATTTACAAGTGCTTGGTTATTTGACCGGTTGCTGTGATGTAAAAGACGAGATTTGGCCTATTAGATCAGTCACTAGGTGCAGATCTTTACCTGTGCTTGATTATAGGCCGGCCACTGTGGTGTTAACTGTTTACAGTGCTTGGCTGTATGACTGGCTATCGTGGTGTAAATAATTACCAATGTTTGACCATTGTATAGAGTAAAATGTCATCATAGCTTGGCTATTTTGCTGATGCTTGGCTATTTGACCGGTCATAGTTGCGTACATTGTTGCTGATGCTTGGCTATTTTGCTGATGCCTAGCTATTTGGCCGGTCATAGTGGCGTACATTGTCGCTGATGCTTAACTATTTTGCTGATGCTTGGCTATTTTGCTGATGCTTGGCTATTTGGCCAGTCATAGCGGCGTACATTGTCGTTGATGCTTGGCTATTTGGCCGGTCATAGTGGCGTACATTGTCGCTGATGCTTGGCTATTTTGCTGATGCCTAGCTATTTGACCGGTCAATGTGGAGTGATTTGTTGTTGATGCTTGGCTATTTGACCGGTCATAGTGGCGTACATTGTTGCTGATGCTTGGCTATTTTGCTGATGCTTGGCTATTTGACCGGTCATTGTGGAGTACATTGTTGCTGATGCTTGGCTATTTTGTTGATGTTTATCTATTTGGCCGGTCATAGTGGAGTACATTGATGAGTTCTAATTTATTCGTCAGTCTTTGACTATGGGTTTCTTTTTCATTTACCATACAAAATTGCTTCCTATTTACTATTTTGTCTCCACAAAACACCCGTTTTGCCACGGAAAATATAACCCTCATGTGTCTTTGTTCGTAAGTGAAGATTTATGTTGATAAGTTTTGCAGAATTAGGGTTTTTATTTTGTGCTCACTACTTGTAGACGTGAGAGTGATCAAAATAAATCTGATGCGACCATAGCAGCACTTGAGATCCTTACATTTTCGATCCTCTCTAACAAGACCTATTTTTTGTTACCATTATGACGTCAGTATAATGATGACGTCAGTACTCTGGCCGCGACATTTATAGCTGACAGAGTTTGGTCAAGTTGTGTTGGCCCAGTGTTAAGTAATGATAAACAGTCATTTGTCCTCAGTGAAAGAGTCACTCTGTTTAGCAACACTGCTGTTTAGTTGACATTATTGATAATTTGTTCAATATTGGAATTGACATCAGTATACCTATTAAGCGAATGTAAGCTGGTATATTAGTCAGTATTGATCAAACTTTGTTGTAAGGTAGGCTTTGTGACGGTTTCTCTTTAGTGAATACTATTTCTGTCTCGGATATCACACCGTTAGTAGTATAGATAAGTAAACATTATGTTTGTAAAAGTCGATAACGTTGGATTTCCATTTGCACGTAAAATATATTAAACAATAATGTAATTGCTAGTTCGTCATAACATGATAACTTTATAAGTGTCGTGGGATAACTTCCCCGAGTAACAATTTTTCGATTAACGTCCCTGGGGTTATTTCCTCGGGTAACATTTTCAGACAACGTACCAGCGGATGACTTCCCCGAGTAATATTTTTCGATTAACGACCCTGAGGTTATTTCCTCGGGTAACATTTTCAGACAACGTCCCAGCGGATGACTTCCCCGAGTAACATTTTTCGATTAACGTCCCTGGGGTTATTTCCTCGGGTAACATTTTTAGACAACGTCCCAGGGATAACTTCCCCCAGAAACATTTTTCGATTAACGTCCCTGGGGTTATTTCCTCGGGTAACATTTTCGGACAACGTCCCTGGGATAACTTCCCCGAGTAGCATTTTTCGGATAATGTCCTTGTGAGATTGTGATTGTGTCTCTTGGATAACGCCCCTCTGAAAATTGGTTAAGGCGTCTGACCATCTACGATAACTAGATCTCCTCCATTAGGTCGCGGGTTCGAGCCCTACGCGGGGAAGTTGCCAGGTACAGACACCGTCTTTCCTCAACCACGCCCTTAAAGGACCAAGACTGCCGATAAGACGTAAACCACAAACAAACCAAACCAATGGATTTACGGGCGAACTGAAACCCACACATTCTGTGTTCAAAGTTTTCACTTTCGTTATATTGACTGCAATACCCAAGTTCCATAAAGACGTTGTCAACAACGGTTTCGATTGGGAAGTCTTGTATAGATCTGCAATCAACCCATGAATTCCGATTTAGACTAATTGAAACCCGCCGGAGGCATGGCTTTATAAAACCACTTGCGACGAAACTATAAAGGACCGCTACATATAACAGGAACATACGGCCTACCACTTTAAATATAAAATAAATTGCCAGCGTGTTACACTTTTTAACCCCATCTAAACTTTCTGTGGTCACAACAAGAACAACATACCTGTCTGGCAGTAGCCGTTACTGAATCAAACAATCAAACACAATGACCGGAAGTTAGTGCTAGTTTTATTTTGGTCAAACCATTATTTCACTGCCGTTCGTATTTACCCTCGTGTCAATGTCCGACAAAGTTGTCGGAGGTAATGGCCGATAATCGAACTCTCGCTCTGATTGGCTGAATTTGTATAGCAACCAGTGTGAATTAAATAAATTTCATTAGTTACGCTACTACTGTAGCGATTCAGTTATGCTTTTTCTTTTCCTTTGTTTCTTTTTTTTAAACAAAACAAACAACGGTGTTTTGTGGATGCTGAAGATTGTGGTTCTTGATTGAAAAGGGGAAGAACTCTTTCCATAATAGAACTAGAATATGCTAAATAACCCCGTTATAACCGTACAAAAACGTCTGTTCTATTATAATCCTTCTATCTATTAATTGTTGCGAACATGATTTGATTTATGCACCATAGACTTTTGAATATACAAACGTGTTGAGATATTTCAAATGTTTGCACAAATGGTTCTGAAAACAACCACCAACACTATATATATCACCAAAACATACGATCTAGGGGAGCAGTATAATGTGACCGGATGGAGTGTCCTGATGGGTGGCTTCGGCAGTATGTTTCAGTGAGGTAGCACTATAAAGTCGGCATCAGTACAGCGCTATCACAAGGAGACAAACACGAAAATACCGCACCTCCCAAAACACACACGCATACACAACACCATGCATCTTGCACACGGGGACGGCCGTCCTTAAATGACAATAGCTGTTGATAGGACGTTAAGCGATACTAAACCAAACCAAACCAAACCAAATCTAGGGGAGCACAATACTGTTACCGAAGACCACAGACTTTTTAATATACAAACTATTGAACTTTTACAAACATTTGTCACAAATGGTTCGGAAAACAATCACCAACTTAATATGTATCTATAAGTTAGCGGGCGGTGTTTTGTTACCAAAGTGTAAGACAGGCTCCGTTGGCCTGGAGGTGTTTAGTACAATGTGCTCACCGGTCCGCCTGCTTTGGTGTGGCGGTATTTAGTATACGCTACCTCGGTGTAGAGGCTTTTGTTCTCGTCTCGCCTATTGTCCATGAAATTATGGTACACCTTAGTATAAAATCAATGGATTGATTTATTATAATTCAAAGTGTATGTTATAAAGTACCGCGATCAGTTTGATAATACACACTTATTATTTGAATATAATAATGCGAGGCACATATAGGAAGTTCCCATTCAATAGCATGTCTGTTTTTATAAACGATCATTATAGTTTATGTGTATTCCATTATAATGATTTTGTATGGGTTTTTATAAAACATTCATGAACATATAGTTCGCTTTTATTTCGTTGTGCGTTCTTTGTTGTTGATTGGGATTCGAGGTCTTTGTGGTGGAATGTGTTTTGGTTCTTTGAGAATTAGTGTGTGTTAGTTGTCACTAGACCAATAAAACCAGTATAGCTATATAGAACGAGGCTATGGAGCAATCGTCCCATACCGGGCCCCGTATTCTATAAATTTGCACTATAATCTCGTGGCGGGTTGTTAACAGGAGTCTTAGACTTGTCATCGTCTCCCCGACACCTCGTACAGAAACCTCAAGCCGGCAGATGGCGCCCGAGTGATCCTGTCTCAGTCTCGACGATTCCTGGATATAGATCTTCATCAACAAGGCGTCAGAACCTGTTCATATCGACCCTTGTGTTTACGGACACTTGTTATACAAGAGTGTTTGGTGTGTAGACTTCGGATCTTCATAAAATGTCAATCGACGCGACAAGGATTTCATACGAAAAATTGAACAGGTGAGCGCTAGAATGAATAGTTTTGTTGTCAAATATGACATAACGGACACTAAAAAATGTTTTCACAGACTTATCTATAAATTAAAAATTGGAGTTATGTTGACGAAACGTGTCCATCCCATAGGATTACTGTCACCCTACGAGTCTGATCTCAATACACATTTATTTCATATAGGACGCGTGAAGGCTTTTCAGCAAACATTGATATTGGTTTGAATATTATTAAATTATAGTTGTGATGTAATCCGTGATCCGATATGACACGGGTTCATAAGTAGACAGATATAAACCAGACGTCTCCCTCTATCCGCGGGCTTTACATACGTATAAGCACGGCGTATCTCTAATACAATTCTCCGTACAGCAGTATTAATAGGGATTTAACTAAAGTATTGATAAAGCTGTCAGTAAGTATAGTATGACCTGTCTCAACCACATCTGTCTGAGACTAAATTATTAGATGGCATTTCGACAGAATAGTACAGCTCATGTCCTATTGTTGACTGAAGTGTCCTGAGATATAACGTTTTATATTTATTTCCTGTTGCTAGAACAACATCAGGAAATGTCTGTATGATAGGAACTCTGCAATAACGCGCGGTCATCGAATTAAAACAGTCTCGTCACAGATATCATGATCAGTATCCGATCTCTAACGTTACAACTATGACGCGGCAGTGTTTATGACGTCATACATAATGTATATAGATCACAGTGAGTGACCCTTGGCGTCAACGTTTTGCGATCGATTGCCCTGTATACGTAATGAACGAAGCTGAAGGGAAGTATTTTTCGTCTTGTTTCTTTTTTTCTTTTTCAGTCTTGACGCATCCTTAGCGGGTTCCATTGATTCTTCATTGGTCCACGCGTCCCATTGACATACATCGTGACAGGGTCCCGTCAGTTTGATACAATGCTTTTACATGCAGTTTTTTCTCAGTTCAGTTTATACTTTAAAACGGCCGACCTCTGTTACATCACGTCCTATGATGATGTGATTGACACCTGTAATCTAAATGAAAAAAAGTAGCGGTTTTGACTTTGGCTGTTGTAGAATGCTTAAAAGACTAGTACACAGAGATTTATAAAATAATAACAAGAAAAAACAACCCCTTTAATCCTTCCCCTTTGAAAAAATAAAAATGGGAAAATCAAAAATTGAACAATAAACTACTAACTGTTACCATCGGACCCTTAGCACCGTCCACCATTATAATATCCAAAAAGTAGAAGGTGCTACTCGGAGTGGACTCTACAGCTATGTGTAGTGTCCATTGATTTATAACTTAGGGTTGCTGTAGTCATGCCGTGAAGCAATGACTTGGCTTTATATTTTAGATCGTGACAACAGAAATGTATGGTTTTCTTGACGTCCAAGATTTTTTTCTGTAGACTACTTTAGCCGCTCATACACACTTCACGTCTGGTACTGTGTCGTTTTGGCAGTCATTCACAGTTGGAAACGTAGTCATTTTCGCATGACGTCCGTGATTTCCGTCTCCGATAACAGTTTGTAGGTATAATGAATTACACGCCGTACGTGAGAAAGAAAAGGGAGGCAACAATACTAAACTATACCAGTGTTCACTCACCCGTGAAGGGGTTAACATGTAAACACGTGGCCGGGTCTTATCAGATGTCGGTGTGACCATGACAGATCAATGGTGTGCTATTTCACGATTCAAACATCTAATTGATTTGGTTAAAATATGTGCCATGTCGTTAATCATTCACGTAAAAAATCGAACGAATAAATTGACCGATAAAAAGATTAATTTCAGAGGAATCCAATCTTTATTAACGACCATTGTGCAAGGGAAGTTAATTTCCCTAAAGCGCTTTCAATTTGCAAGGATTTCAATTTAAATCTAATTAAAAGAACTGAGATAAAAGATTTAAACATCAAAATGTTTAATTTAACCTCGATAAGGGAATTATACAATGAAATAGTTGTTAATCGTTTGCACGTGTCATTTACTGTCAAAGTGTGTGGTTTTAAATACCCAGAGTACAGAAGTGTATTTTGAAGAGTAGCACTCCAAGTGACGGATTTATTTAAACATATACATTATGTACCACACAGCCAGATGAGAGTCACTGATCGGTCAGTGTTAAATAACGATCGCCTGATAAACAGCCAGAAGTGTCACCCAACACCGCCACAAATGGCTGACTCGTCATTCTAAATACCCACAGATGCCGGAAATTCGACACCGCCCCCAAACAATCAGCGCAAAGTATTATCACACACACAGGCTGGTACAGATAGGGGGAGAGAACTGGGAACTTCACACTGGGACTAAAACAGTGTATAATACGACAAAGAACGTGACGTCTCTGTGTTCTGTCTGTGTCTTGGTTTCGATTGTGACGACATCAATCGTATGACGTCATAGATGTTGTGTGTGTGAAGGCTCACACCACGATTTGTTGTTTCCACGGGTGGTTGTCACGCAATGTCTACAGCAGACCTCAGGAACAACAGTAAACTTCATTTGTAAGTACAACGGAAGCGAACGCACCGCTGTTAGCTGGTTGTTCTCCTATTCTGCTATTGACGATGTATCATATCTATTGTCAATGTATCATATCTATTGTCAATGTATCGGTTTTATTGGTGATGTGTCGGCTGTTACGTCTTGTATTCTTCCATTGGTGATGTGTCGGCTGTTACGTCTTGTATTCTTCCATAGGTGATGTGTCGGCTGTTACGTCTTGTATACTTCCATTGGTGAATGTCGCTGTTTGATCTCTTACTTTCGTTTGGCGTGTCCGACAGACACTGGTATTTTGGCGCACGCCGATACACGGGATAGGGTATTGCAGCAAGGCTTTGGCGAGCTGCTAGTAGTCTAGGAGGCAGACATTTTTGACCTCGAGCGTTCAATGAAGAACTAGGGACGAATTTACTCTTCTGTTAATGTTGTTGCGGGACTCTGTCAATGTATTAAATTATATATGTTAAACCAAAGTCTATGGTTCTAAACCATTGCTGATACCTTATTTACAATTCAGTTTATTCCAAAAGCAGTACATACTTTTGTATTACCAGAGAAGTGACTGATGCTGTGTGACTGGTGCTTTCTAGTACCGATTAGTTACTGATGCTGTGTGAATGGTGTTTTCTAGTACCGATTAGTTACTGATGCTGTGTGATTGGTGTTTTCTAGTACCGATTAGTTACTGATACTGTGTGACTGGTGTTTTCTAGTACTGATTAGTGACTGATGCTGTGTGATTGGTGTTTTCTAGTACCGATTAGTTACTGATGCTGTGTGAATGGTGTTTTCTAGTACCGATTAGTTACTGATGCTGAGTAACTGGTGTTTTCTAGTACCGATTAGTTACTGATACTGTGTGACTGGGGTTTTCTAGTACCGATTAGTGACTGATGCTGTGTGACTGGGGTTTTCTAGTACCGATTAGTGACTGATGCTGTGTGACTGGTTTTTTCTAGTACCGATTAGTGACTGATGCTGTGTGACTGGTGCTTTCTAGTACCGATTAGTGACTGATGCTGTGTGACTGGTGCTTTCTAGTACCGATTAGTGACTGATGCTGTGTGACTGGTTTTTTCTAGTACCGATTAGTGACTGATGCTGTGTGACTGGTTTTTTCTAGTACCGATTAGTGACTGATGCTGTGTCACTGGTGTTTTCTAGTACCGATTAGTTACTGATGATGTGTGACTGGTGTTTTCTAGTACCGATTAGTGACTGATACTGTGTGACTGGTGTTTTCTAGTACCGATTAGTGACTGATGATGTGTGACTGGTGTTTTCTAGTACCGATTAGTGACTGATGCTGTGTGATTGGTGTTTTCTAGTACCGATTAGTTACTGATGCTGTGTGACTGGTGTTTTCTAGTACCGATTAGTTACTGATGCTGTGTGACTGGTGTTTTCTAGTACCGATTAGTGACTGATGCTGTGTGACTGGTGTTTTCTAGTACCGATTAGTTACTGATGCTGTGTGACTGGTGTTTTCTAGTACCGATTAGTGACTGATGCTGTGTGACTGGTGTTTTCTAGTACCGATTAGTTACTGATGCTGTGTGACTGGTGTTTTCTAGTACCGATTAGTTACTGATGCTGTGTGACTGGTGTTTTCTAGTACCGATTAGTTACTGATGCTGTGTGACTGGTGTTTTCTAGTACCGATTAGTGACTGATGCTGTGTGACTGGTGTTTTCTAGTACCGATTAGTGACTGATGCTGTGTGACTGGTGTTTTCTAGTACCGATTAGTGACTGATGCTGTGTGACTGGTGTTTTCTAGTACCGATTAGTGACTGATGCTGTGTGACTGGTGTTTTCTAGTACCGATTAGTGACTGATGCTGTGTGACTGGTGTTTTCTAGTACCGATTAGTGACTGATGCTGTGTGACTGGTGTTTTCTAGTACCGATTAGTGACTGATGCTGTGTGACTGGTGTTTTCTAGTACCGATTAGTGACTGATGCTGTGTGACTGGTGTTTTCTAGTACCGATTAGTGACTGATGCTGTGTGACTGGTGTTTTCTAGTACCGATTAGTGACTGATGCTGTGTGACTGGTGTTTTCTAGTACCGATTAGTGACTGATGCTGTGTGACTGGTGTTTTCTAGTACCGATTAGTGACTGATACTGTGTGACTGGTGTTTTCTAGTACCGATTAGTGACTGATGCTGTGTGACTGGTGTTTTCTAGTACTGATTAGTGACTGATGCTGTGTGACTGGTGTTTTGTGACTGTTTCCAGAGCAGTGACTGAAGTTTTATGTTAACACTTTAAGTATTCATTCTTTACATTGGGTTTATATACTGTCTTTTTCTTTCCAGGATGACGTTTTGGTCAAGACATGACCCGATTAAACAACAGAAAGGTCACACTGACCACTGGTCAAAAGCCAGACAGAAGGTAAGTCATCACTGTAATTATATTAAGAATGTTTTAAATAAAAGTGCCTATTTTTGTGTTCTACACACATTGTCGCGATGTTTTGTGTCTGTAAAAGCGGTACTGACAAATATAATAACAGAAGGAATCCTATACGGCTATACACACACGGCAGTGTAGAACCGATCCGTTCTACCACTGTAGGTCGGGCATTTCTCTATTGTCGAGTTACAATGCTGCCAATTTATAATTCCATATTGAGTTGTCACCGATAAGATTTTAATCATCTCAGATGGCTGTCACTGTGACGGGGGAATAAGGCAATCGATGATTTTAAACCTGTTTTATTACATAGAGGGACAATCACACAGACGGACGATCACACAGACGGACACTCGCACAGACGGTCACTCACACAGACGGACAATCACATAGACAGACAGTCATATAGACAGACAATCACACAGACGGACACTCACACAGACGGACACTCACATAGCCGGACAATCACATAGACGGACACTGACGCAAACGGACACTGACACAGACGTACGATCACACAGACGGACACTCACACAGACGGACGATCACACAGACGGACAATCACATAGACAGACAATCATATAGACAGACAATCACACAGAAGGACACTCGCACAGACGGTCACTCACACAGACGGACAATCACATAGACAGACAAATATATAGACAGACAATCACACAGACGGTCACTCACACAGACGGACACTGACACAGACGGACGATCACACAGACGGACACTCACACAGACGACGATCACACAGACGGACAATCACATAGAGACAATCACAAAGACGGACACTCACACAGACGGACACTCACACAGACGGACACTCACACAGACGGATGATCACACAGACGGACACTCACACAGACGGACGATCACATAGACGGACAATCACATAGAGAGACAATCACATAGACGGACACTGACACAGACGGATACTGACACAGACGACGATCACGTTGACAGACAATCACATAGAGAGACACTACTGTAGTCGGTTGTATAATTTTACTGTTGCTGGGTAGTATGTTGTCTGTGATCGCCGGGTAAACCAGTCTGACATAGTTCGGTTGTACAATTTTACTGTTGCCGGGAAGTCTGTTGTCTGTGATCGCCGGGTAAACTAGGCTGCCATAGTTCGGTATAATTTTACTGTTGCCGGGAAGTCTGTTGTCTGTGATCGCCGGGTAAACCAGTCTGACATTGTTCGGTTGTATTATCTTTCTGTTGCGGGGTAGTTTGTTGTCTGTGATCGCCGGGTAAACTAGTCTGAAATAGTTCGGTTTAATTTTACTGTTGCCGGGAAGTCTGTGGTCTGTGATCGCCGGGTAAACTAGTCTGAGATAGTTCGGTATAATTTTACTGTTGCCGGGAAGCCTGTTGTCTGTGATCGCCGGGTAAACTAGTCTGAAATAGTTCGGTTTAATTTTACTGTTGCCGGGAAGTCTGTGGTCTGTGATCGCCGGGTAAACTAGTCTGACATAGTTCGGTATAATTTTACGGTTGCCGGGAAGTCTGTTGTCTGTGATCGCCGGGTAAACTAGTCTGGCATAGTTCGGTTGTATAATCTTTCTGTTGCAGGGTAGTCTGTTGTCTGTGATGGCCGGGTAAACTAGTCTGACATAGTTCGGTTGTATAATTTTACTGTCGCCGGGAAGTCTGTTGTCTGTGATCACCGGGTAAACTAGCCTGACAAAGTTCGGTTGTATAATTTTACTGTTGCCGGGAAGTCTGTTGTCTGTGATCACCGGGTAAACTAGCCTGACATAGTTCGGTTGTATAATTTTACTGTTGCCGGGTAGTCTGCGGTCTGTGATCGCCGGGTAAACTAGTCTGACAGAGCTATGGCGATCATTGTTACTCCATATACAATTAAGACAGTAACTGTTTCAGAAACGATTGTCCTCGAAACTGATCGAGTGGTAAACTTATTACGTAAATCATATCTTTTTGGGTTTAGGGTTCATGGTTATGATTTGATGTTTTTGGTATGTTAAAGGTCAGTAGTAAGTATGGTTTAAGGAGATCTATATGGGTTATATATGTTAGAAGCTTTAAGGTCCATGGAAAGGTTTACGGCCTGAAATTTCATGGTTTCAGTGACATGGTAAAGATTTGGTGGTATAAGGTACTCTATGGTAAGATTTGTTTAGAGTTTTTATTGGTTTAAGTTTGTTAAAGTCCATACAGATACTTGATGTTCTAGTTGGATCATGGTTATGATTCGATGTTGATTTGGTTTAAGATCATGGTTAATTATGGTTCGATGTTTAGTTGGTTTTGAGTTCCGTGGTTTAATTTATTATTTGGTTTAAAATCAATGGTTACATTAATAACGTAATAACCCTAAGCATACAGACAATGTATCATTCTGACCACTGGTCAACAGCTACGTGTTAAACCCATGATGTACGTATAGGCCATATCAGTCTTAGGTTTTACAAAGCTCCAAACTGTCATGAAGCTTCGTCAGGGAGACCTTGATTGAACAACTTCGGGTGAAATCCCGTCTGAAGTGGAATATAATGCCGCACCAAGGCCATCCCGTACCCTTGGTCTGTTCCTGGAATGTATTGATTCTAGTACACTTTAAAATCATCAAATAAACGAGGAACTATTGATTGAAACCTTCCTGAACGCACAGCCACATTTATTTAGAGGATTTTAAAAATAGTGTCAAAATAGGTATTTTCATTTTTGTATTTCTAATGAAACAATTTCATTGGGACTGTGTTCGTACCTGTGAGTCTGACATTTATACTACCCAAGACATTAATTATTCTAAAACACCAGACGGATGTTTCACAAAATATCATTTCACTTTGGAAAATACTTAGTATTTCTATTATTGAGTTGAATTCGTTAAAATGTATATTTTATTTGTATTACTGTGACTAGAACGTTGATATTGTTTATGTTTTAGACGGGCGCCTACACAGTGTCGTACGGTGCAAAGGGTCTCCAAATCCGCTCGGACACAGATCTAGGTGAGTAAAACAACACTTTGTAAACCTCAACCTGATACAGATATAAGTGACTACCAGACGGCCGGTTAGTTGTCACACCGAGTCAACAGATATCAGTGACTACCAGACGTCCGGTTAGTTGTCACCCTGAGTTAACAGATATCAGTGACTACCAGACGGCCGGTTAGTTGTCACCATGAGTTAACAGATATAAGTGACTACCAGACGACCGGTTAGTTGTCACATTGAGTTAACAGATATCAGTGACTGACATACGACCAGTTAGTTGTTCCACTGAGTAAACAGATATCAGTGACTACCAGACGGCCGGTTAGTTGTCACCATGAGTTAACAGATATAAGTGACTACCAGACGACCGGTTAGTTGTCACATTGAGTTAACAGATATCAGTGACTGACATACGACCAGTTAGTTGTTCCACTGAGTAAACAGATATCAGTGACTACCAGACGGCCGGTTAGTTGTCACCATGAGTTAACAGATATAAGTGACTACCAGACGACCGGTTAGTTGTCACATTGAGTTAACAGATATCAGTGACTGACATACGACCAGTTAGTTGTTCCACTGAGTAAACAGATATCAGTGACTACCAGACGGCCGGTTAGTTGTCACCCTGAGTTTACAGTTATCAATGACTACCAGACGTCCGATTAGTTGTCACCCTGAGTTTACAGATATCAGTGACTAACATACGTCCGGTTAGTTGTCATCCTGAGTTAACAGATATCAGTGACTACCAGACGACCGGTTAGTGGTTACACTGAGTTTACAGATATCAGTGACGACCAGACGGCCTGGTCGTTGTTTCACTGAGTTGGCCGGTGAGTTGTCACCCTGGGTCTACAGATATTAGTGACTACCAGACGGCCGGTTAGTTGTCACCCCGAGTTAACAGATATCAGTGACTACCAGACAACCGGTTAGTTATCACCCTCAGTTTACAGATATCAGTGACTGACATACGTCCGGTTAGTTGTCATCCTGAGTTAACAGATATCAGTGACTACCAGACAACCGGTTAGTTATCACCCTGAGTTTACAGATATCAGTGACTGACATACGTCCGGTTAGTTGTCACCCTTAGTTAACAGATATCAGTGACTACCAGACGGCCGGTTAGTTGTCACCCTGAGTT